TCAAACCTTCGACACAGTGCAGATACAGGTTTAATATGTTCATGGGCGGCCATCCTGGCACATCCACCACAACGCGCAGCACGCGGTGGGCAGAAATAACGCCAGAGACACTATGGCCAGCGACAATCGGCCGACGAAGGCCGACTGCTTCACGTGCAGAAACAGCAACATCAGCAGCAGGAAGGTCGCCTTTTGCCGCATGACCAGATTCAATAATCGAACTCCATCCCCGCCGGCTTGCTCATGAAGGCAGGTCCTCGGCATTGCCGGCAACGTGCCCTATTTCTTGGGCGAACACCACCAGCGCACAAGTACGTTCCAATCGCTTCTTAAGAGTATCACGCCCCTGGATAGCGTTGAGCGTCTCCAAGGGCCTCGTCTGGAGCTGCTCGTCTCGCGGATCAGGAGCTCCACGAAAGTAACCAGCAGCCGCGGCGAGCCCGCTGACCCGTGGCAGATGGTCAGGTACACCCCATGCTTGCCTCTGCCAGCTTGCGGTGCTTGTTTTGATGGGAGCTGTTGACAAGGACGGCGAGCTTGTCAGGTCCAGCTTGTCCGCCCCTTCTTGCTGAGGTCGGGTCCAAAGCTCTTGTGCCTCCTCGGCGGTGATGTCAGGGGGAGGTCGCCTCTCTCCACCAGCAGCGGCATCGGTTGACCCGGCGCCAGGCTGGGGTACACTGCCATCAGGAGGATCAACATCAGTTGCACCGCCCATCTGGATATCTTTGGGCTCAGCCACATTCCCCACCGACTTGAACAACAGTGGCTGGAACTTGTTGAAGTTGTGGTGACTGCGGAGGTCGGCGAACAACTTCTGCATCTCAGGATTGTTCGAGATTTCGGGCGACGCTCCAAGCCTGGCGATCAAGTCTTCAAGCACACCTGCTTGCAATGGAGTTTCACCTCGCTGTTGACGAACTTTCGCGGCACTGGCCGCCACTTCAGCAGCAAAGACAACGATCTCTTTGGCCTTCGCCTCAATGGTCGTCTGCTTCCCGCGGATGTCATTCTGGATGGCCTCGAGCTTCTCGTTGAGCGCGGCCAACTCTTGCTCGAACTTCGTTGCTTGACCCTCGCAACGCTCAAGCTTCTGGGAGGCCGCCTTGTGTGCCGACACGGGTGGGCGTAAGGCGCGACGTTCCTCTCGAAGTTGGTCGAACCCCTTGCGTGCTGCAGGGAGACCGGGGTCGTTCTCATCCAGTTCTTTGGTGTTTCTGATATACTGGTCCAGGACGTCGATACGTTTCTGGAGAGCACACCTCTTCTCATTGGTCTTATCGGATTATGTGGGGTCCTTCGGCTTCTCGTCTGCCGTCTCAGGCGCTGCAGAGCCCTGAGCAGCCTTGAATCGCTTAAGCTCGGTCGTGAGATTCTCCATCTGCTTCTGCATCTGCTTGAATTGTTCACTCCATGGCGCAGGTACTGGCATGCCCTTACCTTTGCCTCAGCCTCAAGTTCCAGAGCGCTCGGGCGGGGCGGACGCAAGCTGCTGCATCTCGGCCTTGGCTGCCTTCCTCGCGCGTTGGATAACAGATGTTGGCGCATCTTGTCCGCACCTGCATTTGACTGTGCCTGCCCAGTTCGACGCCGTGCCGCAACTGGGGCATCCCCACGTCGGTTTCTTCGGTCCTGGCAACATGGGGCCTGGCAGCGCCATGAGGCTGGTCCTCTCGACCACGCCTGGTCGGCGCCACAAGCCTCCGTACCGAAGAAGATACTACGCTCCAACAGGAGCTCACTGAAGCCAAAATCAGCTCGCTGCGGCGGTGCCGCTCTGAAGATAGACCGCAGCAAACCCACCTGGGCCAGAACGGCTAGGAGGAGGAGGAGGAGGAGGAGGAGGAGGAGGAGGAGGAGGAGGAGGAGGAGGAGGAAGAGGAGGAGGAGGAGGAGGAGGAGGAGGAGGAGGAGGGGGAGGAGGCGGAGGAGGAGGAGGAGGAGGAGGAAGCGGGCGGGCATGTGGGAGAACGTAGGAGGGCAGCAGGCAGGCTTCTGCTGGGGGCGCACGTCTGGCCCAGGCGAGTGGTGCAGGAGCCTTGCTGCGGCACCCCGGCTTTGCGGACAAGAGTGGGGGGGCGCAGGGCGGCTCGCTGGGTAGATCGCGGGGTGGGTCGCGGGTGGTCGCGGCGGGGTGCGTCGCGGTGGCACGACAAGAAACAGCAAGAGTCCGCACCGCGGAACCCCCACGAACCCAGAGCCGGTCGAAGACGGCTCGGCCCCCCTCCCTCTGATGATATCCGCTACCGTGCCCTGGGGCACGAGTTTGAGTGTCCTCAGGTGTCTTGGAGTTCTCCGTCCTCAGCCCCGAGGGACTGAATATGAAAGGGCCCAAACCCCGAATGGCCGAATCTCCCAGGACTTTCCGTTTGTGCCTTCTGGGGCCCCCCGCGTGTGCTCGCACGACTTCTTCAAAGCCAGGAGGGCCCCGTGAACGGGCCAAGAGGCCCCCCGAGAGGCCCGGGAGGAAGTGCAAGACGGCCCAGAGTCTCCGAGAGACCGCTCCCCACCGAAGGATCGCCCCCAGACGCCCCAGGTGGCCTCCAGACGCCCAAGACCGCCCCGCGGCCGACGCCAGCGGGGCGTGCTTCCAGCACGGGCTCCCCTCGGGGTCCTTCTGACCCGGGTCAATCCAAACCCGGGTCAATCAAGCCTTGCAGAATCCTGCAAGATCTTGCAAGATCCTGCGCCCAAACCCGGGTCAATGCCAAGGATCCTGCAAGATCCTGCAGGATCCTGCACCCAAACCCGGGTCAGCGCGGCCCTGGCCTTGAAGAATCCTGCAAAATCCGGCGCTCTGGCTGACCCCCGTTTCCATGCTCCCGAGCCCTTCGGCCTCGCCCCCGACCGGTGATGGCTGTCCAGCCCGCCGCGGGGGCCTGGACCCGCGGGGGGCGGCGGCCGCCTCCCTCCCCCGCGGGGGACCCCGCGAGGCGGCCGCCGGCAGGCTGCCGCTCCCGACCGGAGAACCAGCGCGCGATCGGGGTCCTGGCCAGCAGCGTGCGTGCCTCTGCCCAGTCCTCGGGAGAGGCCAAGAGGGGGGTGTCCAAGAGGGGGGGGTGCAAACCATGACCGGCGGCATGTGCGCGGCCCAGCGGGGGGGCCAGGGACGTAATGAAATAAGAAGAGGCGCCATGAGATCTGTGTAAATATCATGGCACCCGCCATGATATCCCCCCCCTAGTCATCACCCCCCTCTTTTCCGCCCCCGAAGTCCGCCCACCTCCAGCTCGAGGCCGGGTTCTTTCTTCTATCGTCGTCAATCCGAGAGTACGAAGCCAGGGCGAAGATGAATTCGGGGGAGGATCGATCGACCACCTCCCGCACGGGGGTTCGACCACCTCCCTGGCCAATGGGGGGTTCGACCACCGCCCTCACGGGAGTCCCACGAGTAGCCGCCAGATGGTGCACCTCACGGCAGCCACTCCCGACTGGAGCGGGCTCACAGTCAGGGCCCTGGCTTCACGCACCTTCCTTTGTGCAAGGTGGGCCCGTCCAGGACCTCCACCACTGCTTCTGCACCTGAGCCTGTTGGAAGATACGCCTCTGTGCGCCAAACCGTACGTACCGCCTGGCTGTCTCTACATTGCCCAAAATCCCAGAAATCTCAAACGCGCTGCCAGACCCGCAAGACCATACGCACCGCCTGGTTGTCTCTACACTTGTGCCGCCATCCTTTCTCGGCTGGCTGCTGGCAGTCGTCTTAATTACCTGGCCCGAATTGGAAGCAGACGCAGCAACCAGATAATGAGGAGAGGAGCGAGTACCCTCGCAAGCCTGCCCAGAACGCATCCTGGAGGTCCGGAGGGGGGGGCGCCTTTGAGGCCCGACCAAGCGCAATCACAAACAGCGCCACAACGTTTCGCGCGCAATTGTTGTTCTCTGGCTTTGGGGTGTTTCGCGGCACCGGGGAAGGAGAACGTAAGCCGACAAGCAACGCCGCGTGCGCCGTCGTGCAGGATACCGCTGTTGGCATAAAAAACGCCCATCCACAGACATTGCGTCGACAGTGCCGGCCCCCGGACCCCCCATTTTAATGCTGCATTCGCGGCCGCTGTCGGGGTGCAAGCATCGGTATAAAAAGCGCCCAAAGTTCCACCGCCAAGGCAACCCCGTTTTCAACATTGAAATTTGGGGGCACGGGGGTTCTGAACACAGCAGCGTTATCCAATGTGCCTGGTGGGCGCCTTTTACGCCAGCGGCGGCCGGACGCCCATGCTCCAAGACGGGTGCACGCTCACACCGACTGGCATCTCTTTGGTCAGCAGAGAGCCCAGAATCGAATCGAAAAGTCGGATCGGCGATCGAAATGAATCGGATCGAGAAATCGGCAGCCAAGTCGGGAGAAGTCGTATCGGCAGAGATCGGCAGGCTAAAATGCCTCGACTGAGGAATCGGCATCCAAATCGGAATCTGAAGTCGAATCAAATCGGAATCGGAGGCCAACATATCGAACCGACTCGATTTGGAGGAATCGAAATGAGCCCTATGGCCTATGGGAGAACCGCGCTCACCCGTGAAGTGGCGGCCCACCTGGTTGCCCTCCTCCAGGGCGCAGCATCTAGCATCCGCTGCCGCTCCACACGGCAAGCTGCTGCCTCGACGACGCGGGCCCCAGCCCTGGTTCTTCTGGCACCGCAGGGGTCCGATCTTGCGACGTCCCCCTCGTCGAGGTCCCTGAAGGCTTGCGACCTGCTCTTGCTTGTGGATTCTTCGCCGCGGGTAATCTTCGTTGGGCTCCTGGGCCCCGGGGGCCCCGAACGGGCCTCTGGATGGCGGTCCTCTTTGGACGCCAAGACCAGCGTCGCCGCAGCGCCGAGGCGCCGCGAACCTGCCGTGGCACAAACAAAGGACGCACAGAGGCACATTAATACTATATATATATGTATATATCCACCTGGGAGGCGCGCGTCCGACCCGACCATATAGTATTCCCATCTTGTAGTATATGGTTCCTGGAGCGGCGTAGCCAGAAAGCGCCCGCCACGACGCATCTACTATGAGATTTCTCGGTGCGCGCGTCGGCGGGGCGACGCGACGCACACATAGTAAGAGCATGTTGGGGTGATGCCGAAGAGAAGTTCCTTTTTACCGCCCGCGCGCTCTGAGGAGCCATTCGCACGCGTGGAACTCGAATGGCGAGCAGCGAGAGGCGCCTGAGGTAGACTTCCAGGCGTTCGATCGTGGACCCCTTGCTGCCCGTTCGCCTGGGGCACTCGTCGGCCATCTGCGGGGGTCTTCGAACGGTCTCCAGCGGATTCCGGCGGTCTCCGGCGCGAAAGCTGGACGGCTGCGTTTATAGAAGACGAATAAACAGCATAAACTGAAACTTTTGGCGCTCCGGGCGGATTTCTTGGCTGCGCAGCGCGCCAGGGGCGGCGCCGGAGGCGCCGCCATGGGGCCCCAGCGCGGATCCAAGAAGTCCGCGCGGAGCGCCAAAAATTTATAGCGTTTTTCTTTTCTCCGAGTTTAGCAGAAGGGCCCATGATGGAACGCCAAGGACTTGATTACAGCCCCATAGGGGCGAGGAACCTAGGAACGGAGGAGCTGGCTGTTGGCGGCGCGCACAATCGGGCGGGCTCCTCTTCGAGGGCAAAGGGGGGCTTCTCGGTAGGCGTCGGAGAACTCCACGAGGCCTCCGAAGAGCATCTCGGGAAGCTCGATCAAAACTTCCGAGGCCTCCATGGGCCTCCAGGTGCCATTCGGACCTGGCTTGGACCTCCGGAGATCTGGACCCCGTCCTCTGGATCGGTTTTCCATCCCGAGTCCGTTTGTTGATCGTCCCGGGAAGTGCCCCCCGAGGCCGACAGTGTCAGAAAACCTCCCATCATGTTTTTGGACATTTCAAAAAACAAGACACGGGAACGCAACTAACTTGGACGCCCGGGATGAAGACGGAAAACATGGGTACGATGCCCAACAACAAATGTTGTCAAGCATCGACAGTGGCCGCTGTTGAGCAAGCAGCTTTCTGCCTCACGTGGACCAGGTCCGCGGCGACACCCGCAGCGAATCCTGGTCAGAATGAACGCGACTGCTGCCGGCCTTCGTACCCATTCTTTCTGTCGCCAGGCCGATCGTCCCCATCTAAGAAGCCCCCTGCCTTCGTGGAGGACGCCCCTCCCTGCGCGCAGGTCGCCGCGACCAGGCGCGCCGCCGGGGCTTCGCTCCGCCGCGGGGTGCCAAGCTTCAAAATCTGGTGCCCCGCGCGGAGAACTACACCCTCCAGGCCGTCTCGGGCGTTGCCGCAAGGTAGGCCCTGACCCGAATCACAAAGGTCGCCTTTCAGAGGCATCGCCTGGGAGGTCTTCGCAAGAACGAGCAAGGGCGACTAAGCCCGTTGGTTTCAGGGGCCCCTGAGGCAGACCAGCCCAAGACTGAGCCGAACTGGAGGGAACTCGGCGGGCCTTTGCCGCAGTGTGCCCCTTTTCGACCAAGGGTGTGCCAACGCTGGTGCTGAATAGAACCTGCCAAGAGCTGCATCCGAAAGACCCCAGAGTGTCTCGGGTCGTGCGAAAGGGGGGGATAGCAAAGGGGGGGGTTTGAGAATCAGCTCACGTAGCTGACTTTCCCAGCGCCTCCCGGCGCCGGAGGCGGCCGTGCATCGAGGAATGGGCCCCTCGGTGAGGCCGAAACCAGCTGCCTGCAGCAAATTCCGTGACCCCCCCTTTCCCAACCCCCTCCTTTCGTCCGGCCCGGGTGTCCGTGGTTGCCCAACTGGCCCAGGGTTTCCCGGCTGGCCCGGGGGGGGGGGTCCTCCAGAGCGCCTTTCCCTGGGCCCGCAGGGCCCCGTGAGCTCCAGAACCGCGCGGAGAGCTGCAACGACACCCTGGGCCAGGAACGCCTCGGGCAGCCCCCGGCTGCTTAGCCTGGAGATCCTGGACAATCCCGGGATCGCTGGGCCAGACAGGTGAAAGCAAAACTGGCGCCGCCGAGGTGGCGAGGAAGGGGCGGGAAAGCACTGGGAGGAGGGAGGAGCTGTAGGATTTCCAGGATTTCCGCCATCACGTAGTGATAACCGGGAGGAGCTGTAGGAGAGGAGGAACGGGAAGGAGGAAAGGGTAATGAGCAGAGTCTCCTGCGCAAAACCTTCCCACACCATCGACAGCAATCCTCCTCCACCTCCTTCCCGCCCTCCCCACTCTTGGTCCGCCTGCTCATCCTCCTGAAATCTCACTCCCCGCATCCTCTTACTCCCCGCATCCCCTGTCTGTCCGCCGTGCTGCTCCCACTCCTCCCACTTCTCTCTCCATCCTTGCCTCAGTCCTCCTCCTCCTCCTCCTCCTCCTCCTCCTCCTCCTCCTCCTCCTCCTCCTCCTATTTCCTCGGCGCCTTCTCCTGCAACCCATTCGGCGAGCAACTTGCAGGCAGGGGGCATGGGGCTTGCAGTCCTCGTGGCACCACGAGGGGCGCGGCGCGAGGAGCGACGGGGCTTCTCGGCGGCACCACGGCGGGCCTCGGCCACGCACAGCTGCGTCCCCCGACCCGGCAGTGCCAGGGGCGGCCCGAGCACCAGACGCCCCCTCCCGAGCCCCGAGTGGTCCCGATCCCGCCAGCCCTCTGGGCGTCGGCGGTCAAGCCGATGTCTGATCCTCCCCGTCCAGAGCTCTCGTCCCTTCGGGGAGGGGGTACCCTCCCTCCCCCTCCCCCTCCATGATGCCTTTGCTGGGGGTCACGAAGTGGCAGAGGCTCCTTTTTCGCCCAAGATGGCTCCAAGGGGGCGTCCGATGCTACAAAATGGCTTCCAGCATACCTCGAAGAGGCCCGACGAGGGCCACAAGACGGTTCCGAGCGCTCTCGGAGCTGCCTCAAGAGCCCCCCAAAGAAGCAAACCTCGTTAAAGAAGACATGATAGGAGCTCACTGAATTTTGCCTTTTTGGGACTTGTCACTAACGATGGGCTTCGGAGGCCTCGAGATGGCCCCAAGCTGGCCCAAGATAGGGGGAAAACAAACCTCCCTCGCTTTTGACCACCCTCGCTTCCAAGAGATACCAAACGATGCCAAATTGCAGCCTGTACTGATCAGACCGCTTGACGAGGAGGCGCGTGGTATGGTTTGGTTTTGCCTGGAAGCGAAAGCGGGGTAGGTAATTCACGCTCTGACAAGAGGGCCCCAAGAGGGCCCCAAGAGAGGCTCAAGAGGCAAAAAAAAAAACACAGCCCCAAGGGCACCCAAAAGGTCGGCCCCAGAGCGCCCCCAGAAGCCCCAAAAGCGCCCCAAGAGGTGACTTTGATGGCCCCCGAGGGGGAGGCAAATCTAGGACGCACCCTCCTCTGATCGACGCCCTACACAAGGCCCCCAAGAGGGACCCAAGTTTTTAGAGCCTACCATAACAAATAAACAAACACAACAGCAACGCTTCAACGACGGGAGTCGCACCCCTCCCATACACTAACACATTCTCCAACTGATTGATTCGTTTTGACCGACCCTGAAAAAACACGATTGCCTTGGAATCGTTGGTATGCATCAAGAGGGCCCGACGAGGGCCCCCGGACACACTAATGGAGCCCTAGGAGGACCCCAGGGCCTTCCAAAAGAGCCCCAAGAGGACCCAAAGCAAACCCCAAGATGATCCCAAGAGTGTCACAAAAAAGTCCTCAGCTCGCTCAACGAGTTCTTGTCCTCGGTGTCCTCCTCCTCCTCCTCCTCCTCCTCCTCCTCCTCCTCCTCCTCCTCCTCCTCTTGGTCGTCCTCATCCTCGTCATCGTGTTTCTCGTCATTGTCCTCGTCCTCGTCCTCGTCCTCGTCCTCGTCGTCGTCGTCGTCGTCGTTTTCCTCCTCCACCTCCTGCTCCTTGTCCTCGTCCCCGTCCTCGTTCTTGCCATCGTAATCCCCCTCCGTCTCCTTTTCGTCCGCCTACTCGTTGCCCCCAAGAGGGTCCCGAGAGAGCCCCAAGAGAACCACAAGAGGGTATCAACTCTCATGGTCAGCCTTCCTGAATCGGCTGGTGGGGATACTTTTTTGGTTCGCGGCTCCAAGGCAAGAGACAGGGAGCGAGCACAACGTCTGGGGCGCGGTACGAAGATAATTGGCGCGAGATTGCCGCGGATTCCAGCGGACAACACACGCAGGGCACATGCACATGCCAGGGACAGGCTGGTGGGGGTACGCGAAGCGGTCAACATTTCGTCTTGACTGCAAGAATTTCCCAACCCCGCAAGTTGGGGTCGCCAGGTTTATATTAAACACTCCCGACCCGCCTCGCACACCGTGCGTACCGTGGCCGCCAGGCCCAAAGTGTCCAGATACTCCCTGAGGGTGTCCAGCCTCGCGTGTTCGACGAGTGACAACTGCATGCTACGGCCGCCAGGCCCCAAGGGTGCCACTGCTCCATGGGGATGCCGCCTCGCGTTCTCGGGTGGGGACCGCTCGAAGCAAACGAACTAATCTCAATCCGCGCCTCCAGATCTCCAGACTCCTTCCCCGGGGGAGGGGTGTTGCATCCCGGATCAATTGTTCGGTAACCCCCAGGACCGACAACGGGCCCCAAAGGCCGAACGGAAGCCAACACGCCCGGAGTGACAAAAATCAGCTTGGTCGCAGTTGCAGGTATCGTCTTCGGTGGGGCCCACCGAAAAGGCTCCGAAGCGCTGTACCGGGCGGGGGAGACGCATGCGGGCTGCGACACTGGGGGGACCTTTGGTGGAGCTCCCCATGTGCTGGGCGGGGCAGTCGCATGCGGGCTGCGCCACTGGGACCTTCGGTGGAGCTCCATGTGGGGCCACGACGCGCTGTGCTGGAAGTGGGAGACGCTTGGGGGCAGCGCCTCTGGGACCTTCGTTGGAGCTCCACATGGGGCCACGAAGCGCTGTGCCGGGTGTGGGAGACGCATGCGGGATGCGCCAATGGGACCTTCGGTGGAGCTCCCTATGGGACCCCGAAGCGCTGTGCTCGGTGGGGGAGACGCATGCGGGCTGCGCCTCCGGGACCGTCAGTGGAGCTCCCTACTGGGCCACGAAGCGCTGTATTGGATGGGGGAGAGCTCAACATGGGGCCACGAAGCGCTGTACTGGGTGTGGGAGACGCATGCGGGCTGCGTGTGGGAGACGCCGCGGGCTGCGCAATTGTGACCTTCGTTGGAGCTCCCTATAAGGGCCACGGCACGCTGTACTGGGTGTGGGAGACGCATGCGGGCTGCGCCACTGGATCCTTCTGTGGAGCTCCCTGTGGGGTCACGGAACGCTGTACTGGGTGGGGGAAACGCATGCGGGCTGCGACACTTGGATCTTCGGTGGAGCTCCCAATGGGGCCACGAAACATTGTACTCGGTGGGGGAGAGGCATGCGGGCTGCGTCTCTGGGACCTTCTGTGGAGCTCTCTATGGGGCCACGAACCGCTGTGATGGGTGTGTGAGGCGCAAGCGGGCTGAGCCACTGAGACCTTCGGTGAAGCTCCCTATGGGGTGGGAGACGCATGCGGGCTGCGCCACTGGGACCTTCGGTGGAGCTCCCTATGTGGCCCCGATGCGCTGTACTGGGTGCGGGAGACGCATGCGGGCTGCGCCACTGGGGCCTTCGGTGGAACTCCCTATGGCCGGCGAAACGCTGTGCCGGGTGTGGGAGACGCATTCGGGCAACGCAACTTGGACCTTCGGTGGAGCTCCCTCTGGGGCCACGCAACGCTGCAGTGGGTGGGCGAGGCGCACGCGACATGCTGAGAAGGGAGGTGGGGGAGGAGGGGTCGGGAATCGGATCGTCGGGTGTCTGGGCCCCGCCATGCGCCCCATCCCACCACCCTGGAGGCGAATGAAGACGACGAGGGCAGGCCTCGCGACGGCGACGACGACCTCAGGACGATGACGAGGGCCAAGCCCGACGACGAGAGGGCGGGCGAGGGCGAGGGCGACGGCGCCGGCTGCTCACGCGGCCTCAGCGTCCACGACCCCAGCGCTGCCTGGCTCTGGGCCCATGTTCACCATGAGCTTGGTGACGCGCTTGGCGAACTCGCCAGGGTCCTCGACGGTCGTCGTCGTCGTCGTCGTCGTCGTCGTCGTCATCGTCGTCGTCGTCGTCGTCGTCGTCCTCGTCGTCGTCGTCCTCGTCCTCGTCGTCGTCGTAGTCGTCCGCCTCCTATTCCTCCTCCTCCTCCTCCTCCTCCTCCTCCACCTCCACCTCCACCTCCACCTCCACCTCCTCCTCAGCAGGAAACCAAGAGTCCGCAATGCAAGAACAAAAACTGCCACGCAGGTCTTCGCAAACCCGGGTCAACCAATCTGCGCGGCCGCCTCGCGGCCACGAGCGGCTCGCTAACCCGGGTCAGCCAGAGGGGGTCTTCGCAGGACCCCCGCTTGCATTGACCCCCGTCTCAAGGCTCCCGAGGTTGGCCCTGATCCGCCCACCGGTGGGCGACCTCCAGCACTGGCGGCGGGCCCGAGGGCGCCTGCCAGTAGGCCGCCCCGCACAAGCACCAGCGGCCGCCGCAGGGGAGGGCCCACATCAGCAGGTCATTGCTTGCTCTGCTCCGCCTTAGCTGGGGCTCGCCACGGCACGCGGCGCGGCGGCGCAGCCCATCGTGAAGAACACCTCGCAAAGGTGCGGAGCGCGGTCCAAAGGCGCCGCGGCGCAGTTGAGCCAGAACGGTTCTTGAGGAGGAGGAGGATGAAGAAGAGGAGGAGGAGGAGGAGGAGAAGGAGGAGAAGGATAGTGATGGGGGGGAGCAGCATGAGGGCGGGGGAGGGATTGGGGAGGCGAGGAGAAGCCGAAGAAGGGCGCGGAAGGGGGATTATAAGGGAGAGGGACCGGCAGGACGGACAGGAGCGGGAAGGAGGGGGGCAGGATAGAGCAGGAGGGAGGGTATGAGAGGAGGGGGAGGAGGACGAGGAGGAGGAGGAGGACTACGACTGCGGCCAGCGCATCACAGTGAGGATGGCAGATAGATGGGGTCCTCAATGTTGTAGCCGCCGATGAGGGCGGCAGTCTCGTACACCATCATGACCATGTCCTCCGTCTCCTCTCGATGGGCGCCGAGCGCGCGCAAAAGGAAACGATCGCCTTTTGCGCCACGGGTCCTGGCCCTTCCCCGTTCCTCCTTCCCCCGTGCCCCTCCTCCCGTCTCAGAATCATCAGCCCTCCCCATCATGCGTCCATGTGCTCCGCCTCGCTCCCCCTCTCCTCCCTGCTTGCTCTCTCTCTCTCTCGCTCTCTCTCGCTGCTTCCCCGTCCTCCCTCATCTTTGACTCCCTCCTCGTCCCTGCTCCTCTGCCTCCTCATCCTCCTCCCAGCCTCCTCACCATCCTCCTTCTTTTCGTCGTCGTCGTCCTCCTCCTCCTCCTAAAAATGTCCGTCCTATTCCTCCTCCTCCTCCTCCTTCCCCTTCTTTTCGTCCCTCCTCCTCATCCTCCTCCTCGTCCCTCCTCCTTCTCCTCCTCCTCCTCTTCCTCTTCCTGCTCCCAACCTCCTCGCCCTCCTCCTCCTAATTTTCGTCCTCCCCTCCTTTCGCCGCTCGACTCCGCGGTAGTTTCGTCGACACCAGACCAGGCAACACTGATCGAGAAGCAGGTGACGAAAGGAAAAACGTATACCCCAACCTGGGATATTTGTGGGTTGTGAGCTCTCTGGAGGACTGCGCATCTCTCCAATTTGGCCTGGTCCATCGCGCCCAGGCACCGTTGCTTGCGCTCTGGCATGTCCGCGTCGGCGTGATCTTACTGGGCAACCTGGCACGTGTAAAGCCAATGATGCTCCAGGCGTCGATGCCCTCCTTGTGACTTCCGATTGCACGCGGCACCCCTTGATCCCCGCCTCTCTAGAAGAAGGCAAGACCGCATAAGCATAAACTTTTGGAGGTCCGCACGGATTTCTTGGATCGGCGCTGGACCCCCTCCCTGGCGCGCGGATTGCCCCAGGGGTGGCACAGGAGGCGCAACCACGGGGCCCCGGCGCCGATCCCGAGGAATCCGCGCGGAACTCCGAATTTTTATGCTTCTGGCACTGTTCGCTCCCATACGGCCCAGCCGCCCGCTCTCGCCCCGGCGCTCGCCCCTTGTGCCCCAAGCAGTCTGCCACTGCGCCCCAGTGCTTTCCGACCGCTTCTTGGAGACAAGTCTTAGGTCGGGCATGTCCTCCTACAGGCGGAATCCGGGCGAACACTGACAACATAGTCAAGAAATAATCAAGAATAGTCCCGATCCTGTGTTGTGTCATGTTTGAAAATTCCTCCTGCAGAGGGACATGCCCGACTTACGAAAGTCGCCGCCGACCCAAAAAGTGTCCCCCCACGGCCTGGCGATGGAGGACGGCGAGGGCGCGCAGGTCCGTTTTTCTCGGCGGTGGACAAACCTCCCTTTTAATAAACCTCCCTTTAGGGAAAACGGCCTAGAACTGAAACCGACGGACCTGGACCCGCATAAATGACGGCCGCGACGCCCTCTCGCGAACCGAAGACGGCGCAGAAGGTGCAAGATGATCCAAAGTGCTCCTCGATGGTCCCCGCCGAGGAAAATGCACGGCGGATCGTCACACACATCGTCCCGGGTCGAATCGACGTCCGATCGCCGGGCCCGGCCCGGGCGGCCCCACGCTGACACTGGCGAGTCCGACCGAACCGACTCGGATCGGAATCGCGGCCCCAACCGTTGCATCGGAGCGCAGCGAACCCATCGGATCGTAAGGAGAGCCAGACGTCTGGAGGCCATGCCGGGCCGCCGTGTGGCCATCTTGGGCCCTCTTGGAGGCATCCTGGGCCATGTTGGCGGCCTTGGCGCCCGTCTCTCGGCCGTCTCGGATCACTGTTGGTTCCCCGATCGCGCACTGGCGGCCCTGCTTGCCCTCCCCCCACCGCAACACTCCGGGCGCCGCGACGCCGGCGCCTCCAGGACGCCCCAGCCTTGTCTTTAGGTCGGGCATGCCCCAAAAAAAAACAGATTTTGGAGGACAGATCAGAAATATGCAAAAAATCTTCAAAACAAATGCGCAATCATCGTCCCCAGATTATTTTCTGACAAATATTCCTCCTGTAGAGGGACGTGCCCGATTGAACCTTGTCTGGGTTCCCTTCCCGGATTTGAAGCGGTTCCCACAGTCGCACTCGCAGCTTTTTTAGTCGGCAGCCGCGAGCGAAAGCGCCAACGGCGAGCCGAGTCAGAGTGGGCCGCGCAGAGACGAACTACCGAGAGGCGGCGGGGCCTCCTTAGGCATCACCGCGGAGGGCAGGGCCGGCGGGAGGGGGTGCGCACACACAGGCACAGCCTTTTTTTTTACAGCCGCAGGCGGAAGCGCCAGCGGCGGCGGGTCACGGTCGGGCTGCGGCCGTGACGAATTACCCGGGGGCGCGCGCGGGGGCCGCGGATCAGGCGGCGGTGCAAGCAGCAACCCAGGGACACACACACGGCCCTCGCAGCGACACGAAGTCTCACGGCACGCGGCCCGCCAGGCAGCCCACGGAGCTTGAGCTCCGCCTGGCCGAGGCGCGCGCGAGGCGGCGGAACTCGCCGCCCGACGGCGCGCGGCGGCTGCGCGCCGACCCGCAGGCAAGGCTCGGGTCGGGTACGTCCCCGTCGTCCCACAGGCGGATCCGGGGCGAGAGTTAAAACATAGTCAAAAACATAATCGAAACTGGAGTCTATATACATATATTTATGTACATCTATATGTATATATATATATATATATATCTGTATATATATTATATAATCGTCCCCTCCTTATGTTTGGACTGTCTTGGAAGCTTCCTCCTGTAGAGGGACATGCCCGACCCAAGGCCAGGCGCAGGCGCGGGCGCAGGGGGCGGCTCGTCGCCGCGCTGGCCGCGCGCAGTCGCGCGGCCACGGGGGGGCAGGCCGCGCGCAGGGAGCGAGCGCCCCGCGCGCGGAGCCGAGGCGCACAAGGGGCCGAGAGGCTCGGGCCTGCCCCTGCGCTCGCGGGGCGCCTGGCGCGCGGAACGACGACGACGACGACAAAGACGACGACGACAAAGACGACGACGACAAAGACGACGACGACGGCGCCGGCGACGACAATGCAGGGCAGGTGGACTCGTTTCCTCCACTCCGCGGACTCCGTCATGTCGTCCCTGCGTCGTCGTTTCTCTTTCTCTTGCGATTTATCCATTTCCACCGCTCGAGAACCGACGTCCTGGTGCCCAAGTGGGCGGTGGACATGGATGTATTTCGGCCCCTGGGGGCCCAACTATGTCCGTATCCACCGCCTGCCGAAGCTCCGAAAACTGACCCTTCAGGCGGTGGTCATGTATACGTTCCCGCCTCGGATATCGGCTGATAAATAAAGTGTCCTCTCACATGCCAGCATGGCCGTGCCAAGCGACGCCTCGGACTTTGTTATTTGCGGCCGCAGCTCTTTAGGCAACGAGACGCGTCTTCCTTGAACAAGGCCCGAAACCGGAAGTGCGGAGATCATCATCAAAAACCGCGTTCCTACGTAAGGCTGTCCGTGGCTGCTCTTTCCCATTCCAAGGAGTTCGGGTGCTGCTGCTGCTCATGCTAATCGTATTCCTCCCCCTCCTCCTCCCCCACCTCCTTCTCTTCCTCCTCCACCACCGCTCGCCCTCCTAAACGACTCCTCCCTGTCGCACCCCGAGACGGGTCGGTAGGGCGGGCCGGGAATGTCACTCGAGAGGTCCCCAATCATTTGTCATCCTGGAGCTTGAAATTCGCAACAGCTTCACGGATGCAGGGCGGATAGTTTTCAACATGTGGCTCTCGCCCCAACGCCGCGCACATTCGTCTTACAGTCTGAAAAAACTTCACGGATAAAGCAAGGGTGGCTTTCAAGATGTGGCTCTCGCCTCAACGCCGCGCGCATTCGTCTTAAACATTTGCAAGATGACACAGGTAAAGCGCGGGTGGTTTTCGACATGCGGCTCTCGCCTTATAGCCACGCGCATTCGCCTCAACATTTCGCAAGAGTTTCACGGATCATTTGCGGGCAGATTTTGAAATGCGGCTCTCGCCTTTGCGCTGCGCACATTCGTTTTAAACCAAATGCGAGAGTATGGAGAAATCTTATGATTGGCGTCCCAGAAATTGTGCTATGGCACGATTTCGTATTGTCAGGACGCGACAATCACGTTCATCTGAAGTGCTTTCTGGTGCAACTCTGGATCGCCAGGACGCAACCGTGCAATTGATTCGTGGCGTTGAAGATGTTCAAACGGTTGTCGTCCGACAGGACACTTCCCGTTGTGAAAATAAATCTTTGCAGGGAGCTTGCAGGGGGGAGGATTATTGCAACATCTTTGATGAGTCTTGGATTTACGCTGGTCATTGGTCCTCCTCCTCGTCCTCCTCCGCCCTCCCTCTGGCTTCCTTCCTCTCCTCCTCTCTCCTCCCCCTCCTCCTCCTCCTGCTGCTCCTCCATACTCATCCGCCTCGTGCTCATAGCCACTTCTCCAATTCCTTCCCCTTCCACGCCCCCGTTTCATCCCCCCACTGTCCTGCTCCTCCTCCCTCGGCCATTCCTCGTCTGCCTCCCGAAGCCGCCCGAAACAATTTGAACACGCACGGAAAACGTCCAAACATACAGTAAACTGTCGAGCATCGCCGAAGACGATTTGTTTTCTGCGATTGCTCCTCCTCGTCCGCCTCCCCCTCCCTCCTGTTCCTTCTCTTCCCTCACAGATCGACTCAAGAACTCTCCTGCGGTGCGTTCCTAGCGGAATCTCAAAGCGAATCCAACCGTGGCGACGAAAGCAACCCGGGAGGCACAGAAAATACGCAAAACAGACACCCTACAACCTCGACGCTGGATCCTCCTCCTCCTCCTGCTCTTCCTCTTGGTACCATCCTGAGGCTAAACAACACATCATCAGATAACTTCTCGATTCACTTGATTATCCCTTTGGCGACCCAAATCCTCGGAATCGGGAGCGGTCTGCTGCATCGTCCTCAATTTCTGGATGACCGGGTGCTCGGGGTTGATTTCCAAGATCGCCTTGCCGCGGGGGACCAAGAGAGGAACGGAGGGGCAGGGAGGAGAGGAGAGGAGGAAGGGAGGACGCCAGGAAAGGGACGCAGGGAGGGCCCAGCGAAGGGGATGAAGGGAGGGAGGGACGAAGGAGGAGGAGGAGGAGCAGGAGGAGCAGGAAGGGAAGCAGGAGGAGGAGGAGGAGGATTAACAGCGGGAAGGCGAGGCGTGAGGAAGAAGTGCCCTAGCCGCAATCTTTGACCTGTGGTTGGGGGGGGGAGCTTGGTGTGAGGAGCACCGCATGTGGCAACGTGGGCTCCGACCGATCCAAAGAACCGAAGGGGCCCTGGGGCACACAAAGAAGTACACACAGATCAAAAGATTCCCCATGCTTTCTCATAGTTTCTCGGTGTTTGTCTTCCCCCCCCCCACTTCCCACATTCTCCCATATCTTCCTGGGGATCGACGACTACTTGTGGCTGTGTGTTTTGTTCCCCTCCTGACAACCCCCCCCCGTCCGTGGGGAGAGCACGGGGCACGGGGCCCCCTGCCAGAGACCTGGACCCAGGACTGCCGCCGGCCGCAGCGGGGCCGACACGGGCCGGGCGGAGCCCGAGGAGAGGCCGGGGCCCAGCCGGT